TCGGTCCTGTTCCCCTTAAGACCAACGTGGACATCAGAGTTTTCTTTCAAAAATAGTCTAATCAAAGTGTCCTGCCACCCCAGCTGCTGAGAAATCTGTTGTGCTGCATCCGGTTGGGAATGCAAAAGGTGCAAAACCTATGGATTGGAGAAAATATCCCATATGCACATGTTAATTTTTAGGGTATCATTACATTCATTCTAATATTTAAATTAGACATTTTATAAATCTTAAATTTTACTTTTCAAGAACCCTGAAAAAGTCACAAGCAATAACAAAGCAAAGAAGTCAAAGACTATTCTCAAGAGCAAAGCATATATGAGAAACTCAAGACTCTACCAACGCAAGTAAAAAGTGTTTTCATTTCTTCAGTTATAACCAATCGATGAGACACTAGACATCTGAACTATTGCAACTGGATCCGTTTCTTTTATTTCTCTGGACACAGTCTTTTCTTCAAAGCAAAGAATGTGTTCTTCTGTTTCTCAGTGCATCAAACCCTTTTCCAATTGTTAATGTAAAGCTATTATGTATGATTTTCCCAGCTTGCCAAAAAAATAAAAAATAAAACACTTCTCAGGAGGCAAGGAAAAACATTGCCAAGAGTAGATCAGCAAGACTTCATATTTCAGGCTCTATTCTGAAACAGTTCTTGGAAAAGACAGTTATAACATTATGCTGCAACAAATGATCCCAGCCATCAGTCAATTAAAAAAAATCAATCCAGCACATAGAAATACACTGATAAACAGATAAAATTAAGAAAGCTACAGGACCAATAGCTTCTATTTTCATTTCTCTAGAGTAAATTTGAGAACCTCTGGTAAACAGCAGTGTCTTCACAGCCTCATCCAGTACTGCTAATACTATTGATATGTCAGACAAAGCTCAGTTTAGAAGAAAAGTCAGCATTTCTCCCTTATCTCTCCCTACAAGTCACTCTTGAAAAAGTATGCTATATCAAAATAACATATTCAAAATACGAACATAGCTTTGTTCATAGGTTTAAGCATCTTGTGAAAAAAGTCAGTAATCCAAGGAGTATGGTACTTTTTAGTTGCGGAAAATGAATACTATTTGAGAACCATTACAAAGCCTATTCTTTTCTTTTTGCTTTTTGAAAATACAGGAACATATAATAACATTCAACATTAAGTGACAGATTGGCCTAATTTTTAACACAATCCATTGTTAAGAAAAATAGTATGCATAGCCTATGCATCCCAGATAACCAGTATAATGTGTCATCTTGATTATAGGTGACAAGGGCAGCATTCCAGTTTTCAAGACAACTAACCTTTCTACAGATAGCCACTCTGACGTTTACATCAGATCTATGAGCCAGATGTACTACAGCTATAAGGTCTTTATAGTTCACAGCAGGATCTGTAGAGAAAAAAATAAATTAATAATCAGTTATCATGCAAGTCAATTAAACAACTACATATAAAAACTGCCTTGAAGATGACCTTTATATCCATACATAGTAAAAGAAAAACTTCAGTAAATTAAAAAAGCATTAGCTGAGATTAATGTGAAACTTGGAAAGAATAGCTTGGTAAGATAAATTGTTTTCCTTCAACATAAGTCAATATGTTTGTTACCAAAAAAAAAAAAAAATCCTCCAAGAACTTACAAATGGTAAGGACAATACATCTCCAGTTACCTGTGCATAGAATCTGGTTAAGAAGATTTTTAATGAAAGAAACAGAAACCGGTGATTCATTCAGAAGAAGCCCCAGTCCAGAGTATCCCACTTCTCTGAGTCTCATGCGTTGCTTACTCCGTTCATATACTTTAGTGCATTTCAACATCTCTTCCAAAATCTGCAGGAAAATAGTACAAATACAAAAGAACCACAGCTGAGCACCTGGACTTTTCACTTCATATTAACATTCTTGTCTGCAGTTCATAAAGCAAACTTTAAATAAAAACTCAAAAAAAATCCTTTATAAAGATTCCAAAGACCAAGAGTTGACTTCAAGAGCACAGTCCTTCCACCGTGACTAGAGCTGTAAATGATAACATCTAGCTAACATACCAGTAGAAAGAATAACCACAACAAAAAAAGAACATTTGAATGAGTAATATCTTTGCAAGCGTATACAATTCTGCAGTCAAACTGTTGAAAAATACAAGTTAACGTTCAATTAAGAACATATAATTTATTACCTTGAACACAAGTTCTCTCAACTTGTCAGAATATCTTTGATGCAATAACAGAGCATAAAGAATATCAGCATTTCCTGGTTCAAAAAGGAGTAGAAAAAGCTGGTCTGGGGTTGGGCTGGAATGAAGCAGGCTGTAAAGAACATCCAGAATTCCAAAGAGCTATAAAACAAAGATAACTAAATTAATCTGCAATTCATGCAGACTTCATGCTCTGTTTGGCAGATTTTTTCTTGCTTTTTAAATTTCACCCTTTGCTTATTATAAAAAAGACATTTGATCTGCTTAATATTACTACATTTAAAATCAGATTTTTGGAAAGACAATTTTTCTATATATAGAACGCTATAAAATTATAATCAGACCTATAAAGAAAAATCAAATTTTATAAATGTCAAAAACAGACAAATCCCATAATTAAAACTTTTGTTCCTTTAAAATCCAAACCATTCAGTTGGGTAAACTAAGCAAATTTCTCCAATGTCTACACTACACTTGCTTGCTGCCCTTTCCACAGAAAAAAAAAAAAAAAACAGTGAAAAGATAGCCAGCCAGCACTTGGTCAAGGTTCCAGTTTGCTTCTTCAACACGCCTCAGGCATCTAGATAGCACCATAAACTGAATAAGAGTTTGATTGTGGTCTGTTTTCCATCTTTTAAGCAGACAAGTTGCAAAATTCCTAAACACCAAAAATAAAACACAGAGGTCAAACAATTGATTTATCCATACAGAATACCTGTTCCTCTTCACTGGTGGCAGCGATATATGCTATGATGCTCTGTATTTCTTCATGTGTTCCACCTTTGCTCAGGAAATATTTGATCAGTCCATAAAGGGATGTCCTTATTGTTCTCAAGTCATCAGGAGCCAAGTCACTGTCTTTATAGCCACTCCTGAACACCAAGAGACAAGAAAAGCAAACCAAGAAAGCTCCTCATAACTCAAAAATAGCAATCGGATTGTGCTTGTTGCACAATTTTTACAAGTATCTTGATATCATGGCACAATCTACTTATTTTTACTGAAAAAAGGCAACTTAGTAATAAGCAATAGTAGTTCAAACTTCAGAGACTATAAAAGCCTGAAACGCAAGTTTGTCCTGATCTGGATACAGGTCATTATTTCAGGTCTCTGAAAAGGAGAAGATTTCAAAGAAAAAAGGTGTCTTAATCATGATAGTTATTCTCTCATTTCATAATGGCAATGGTTTATGACATAACTTGCATTATTAAGAAAAAAATATTTCAATTTTCTAAGTTTAGTGACTTTCCCAAACATTTTTAATATCATGGCCATACATTTAGCATAATCGGTCCATAAAAGTCACAGCAAAAGTAGCAAGTGAAGCAAAAGAAAAATTTTAAAGCATTTTTGAATGAAGTCTACCACTAAAGCTAAATTTCAGTTTTACTGTTTGATTTTCTCACTATGAGGGAAGGCGGGGGAAGATGAGGGGACATGAACAGCTACATGAACAAAGTAGAAACAGAAGATGTAAAATTCATACCCATAATACATCCTGAGCGTGTCAAGAAGAAACTGCACACCATACTTCTTTCTGAAGAGCCTTCTGCTGTCTTTGATGATTGTGGAAAGATACTGTATATGCCCTGAAGAATAAAGTTTTCCATTAGAACCTAGATAAAGATTAATGCCAGGTAAAATGTGTTCCATCTTTGTGCAGCTCCCCACGACCCAGAACCCACCAATTCTGTAAGGGAAGTCTCCACTGTTCCAGATGCTGAAGTCAAACAGTAAGTGGTGATACATCTGTTGCAAAAGTTGCATATTCTTTTCTACTGAGACTTGCTCTATCAACAACTGTACAGCCATCAGGACGTTCACATCCATCAAGTTTCTTGGCACCTACAAAAATAACAACCTGTGTTAGCAATCAGCATATTGAATATCCTAAATAACTTTTCCACTTTAAATTTTTTTTTTTTGGTGATTCCTTCAAAACAAGATCTTCTTTCATCTCATTTCCTCTTCTCTCAAACAGTAAACCAAAATACAGTTCAGGATAAAGCAAGAGCCTCACTTTCTGGAGAAATTAAGCATGTTTCAAAGGTTTTAGGGGATCATCCACAACATTCATTCTGGAAGGATGTTTCTCAAATTCGTTTACCTTCTGTAACAAGGCTCCTAAGGTGGCAACTCCATGGGAGTGGATGAGATTTTCTTGATTAACATGGTGTCTTTGAATAAAGTGTTTTATCATCAAGATGAAAGTTGCAATGATATTCTTCTCCAAGCGAGCCTCTGCAAAACAGTGTAACAGCTGCAAAAACTTGTTTTGCTCTGGGACCACTACATAGAAGTAGATAGCATGTGTATCTCCAGTAGAGAGTTTGTATTCCATATAATTTCCCCAACTTTCCAAATCTTTTTTGTTCCCTAGCTGTAGGCTATCTTTAGATTTTTTTCCAACGCAGAGTCATTCCAAACTCCACGTCTCTCCAAAGCAAACCAACTCCAGTTCCGCCTCTGGGTGTTTCATTCACCTGGCTGGGGCAAACAGATTCTTCTTCCCCTTCCAGTCACAATCTTTTTGCATATCCTACATGTATTTTTCCTCTAAAGTTGCAAACTGGCACTTTCTAGCAATAATATGTAAAAATCATGGAGACGATGAAGCGAAGAGAGAAATATATACTTATATTAGCACAGTTTAAAAAAAAAAAGGAAAAAAAAATCCTATACTTAAACTTGTAGAAAAGAATGTGACCATGTGTAAGGAAGTAGGGGCCTTAATGTTTTCCTAAGAAAAATTTGACCAACTTCCACACACCACTGTTCTGATACTGTAAAGTCTTACTGTGGTAGCCTGACCCAGCACTCAAGCAGTAGGAAAGTCTCCCCTTTTGATGTTAGGGGGTTTTGCATCAGACAATTCGTTATTTCTCAGAATATTCAGAAACATACTTCTTTAGTTAGAAAAGCAATAACTGCATATTTTGACTTTAATGTAAGAGCAAATCATGAAAAGAAAAATAATGTTAATCAATACATTTAAATTTCAAATATGTAAGTTAATTTCACACAACACTCCAGGCATTCAGTATCCGTGTTTGATGTGCAGAAACAGGAACAGCCTGTCAGCATTACATAGCTACATTGGAAAAAACAGCACATAATAAAATGTCTTTCCATCATTCACTGAAAAGCTTGTAATGAAAGCTTAAAAACGACTTAATTCCAACCATGCTTTCCCACCTGATGCCTTTGTGGACGACAATACTACCCAGTCTCCCTCTACGGGGGTAACTAGTTCTGAGGGTAGTGTTTCCCCTTCAGACTTTTGAGGCACTTGTCCACCAAGAGAGCTGATCTGCTCCAGCAGCGGAAAGAGCACATTTATTCCACCAATACAGTTGATCATATCCTAATCAAGGAAAACAGGAGGAAAGAAATAATCATGTCTAATGATTAAAATTAAAATTTAAGGTTTAAATTTAAGGTCCACTAGTACTAAGGCTGATTAGCAGTGTGCTAATGTGAGTTTAGGTTTTAGTTTTAGAGTAGATTAATGCCTGAACTGTCACTGCCATGAGACTAAAATCAGCCACATTAGCCACCTCGGAAAGACATTGGGACCATACTTGTTGGTTTATTAAAACAGTCAAACAACAAACAAACAAACGAAAAACCTACATAGAACAGCTTCATTAAAATAAAATCAGGTATCCCAGTGTAGCAGTCAGTGAGTAAAAATTATTGTAAGATTAATGTAGAGACAAACAAGATATAACACTTCAGTGAATCTCTTCGGTGTTTTCCCTGAATTAGGCTTTTGGACTGTGGGATCACAGTCCAAAAGTCCACCACAGTACAAGAGGGATGTGGAGCTGCTGGAGAGAGTCCAGCGCAGGGCCACAAGGATGATCAGGGGCCTGGAACATCTGCCCTATGAGGAGAGGCTGAGGGAGCTGGGCCTGTTCAGCCTGGAGAAGAGAAGGCTGAGAGGGGACCTGAGCAGTGTCTATAAGTACCTCAAGGGAGGCAGTGAGGAGGATGGTGCTGGTCTCTTTTCAGTGGTGGCCACTGACAGAACTAGAGGAAACAGGAAGAAACTGAAGCATCAAAAGTTCCACAGGAACTTAAGGAAAAATTTCTTAACAGTGAGGGTGACAGAGGCCTGGAACAGGCTGTCCAGAGAGGTTGTGGAGTCTCCTTCTCTGGAGATCTTCCAAACCCACTTGGACGCAGTCCTGTGCCACGTGCTCTAGGTGACCCTGTGTGTGCAGGGGGTTGGACTAGATGACCTCAAGAGGTCCCTTCCAACCTTAAGCATTCTATGAGTCTATGAACAAATGGTACTGTCAGCTCAAAGTAGGAATAATCATGATAACTGAATGAAATTATCTATTAAAAGAAGTATTTACCTCTACCCCTTGATTTCTACTGAAGCTACCCAATTCGATTTTTTTTAATGACTAATGTAACAAAAGTCACAAGCGTTAGTTGAACCCTAGTAATCTCAATGTAACTCAAAAGCTTAAAGTGGAATAAAACCATGACAGAAACCTCTAAAGACTTTTTGACATACAACATGCACTGAACAGATTACACAGATCAGTCTTAGTTGCCACAAAAATACTGATTCATTATATAGGATGCTAAGAGCAGTAAGCCCTGGTAACTTCTAAGTTTAGCATATACTGCTCCAGCTGCAGTGTTAACCTTTTAATTTTTATTACAAATACATGTTGCACTTGTTAAATGTCATTAACACTACAATAACTTCTGGCATTACAAAAATTAGATGGAAAATGCAGCATTTGCATCGGGCACCGGTGACTCAGCATGCGCTTACCTTGATGTCCCAGTTTACTACTTTGTTTCCAGTTAGTCTTCCATGTAAAAGATTTGCAGAGAGATCAAGGCAAATAGGATTTCTGCAGGCCTATTAAAAAAATAAAGGGGCTTCGGTATCATTTCAGAAACGAATCACAGATGCCAAAAGTTCACATAAGGGTTTCAAATACATAATACACTTCAGAAAGGTAGTGCCTTTGTGTTCGTAAGTATTTAAGCAAATCTGGAAATCTGGAACAATTTATGTTATCTCACCTTTGGCATGCACAGTTGCACAAGAAATTTCTGTTACTTTGGAAAACAAGAATAAAGTCTATGATATCTTTCCATAACAACCACAACAAAGAGAGCACATTTGCTTATTCTAATAAACAGCAAGAGCAAAGCAAAAAAGACCATCCAGAACATGTTTCAAGACGTAAAACAGAAAGTTACTGTGTACTGTGCAAACAAAAGGAAATTATGTATTGTTTCATACCTTTGGTGTATAATGAAGCAGCACCTTACTGGGGAGGTCCGCTACTTCAGACTCCTGGGATTTCCATGGAGTTAAACAGTTTGGACCTACAAAATATTTTTAGGAGTTCAATAGATATTAATGTTGGTTATTACAAATTTTATTCTACTGTACTTTGCAACAATAGGACACTTAAAACCATAAAACCATACCTATGTAAGACATGTTTTGAAATAAATTTTTTGACATAAATCTTTCATTCCATAGGGTCTTAAAAAGAAATAATCCCTTGCTGAAGAGCTATACTTTGCAAATAGATTTTTTTTTGTAAGTTGAAGACCACTGATGTTTCTGTCTTTAAAAATACTTTAAAATACTTTAAAAATACTTTAAAAATACTTTAAAAATACTCACATTTGACTAATCCCTCTGTCATTAAGCACCAGTATCCAGAAAATGAGTAACCTTTAAGATAGCTTTATTTAATAATGCAGAATATTTCCTCAAAATGCTGAAAGTATTTTTATGCTAACTTCTAATAATCTTAGATCCCCATGGAACCTAATATTTTACTATACTGAACTGTAAGACATAGTTTATCAGAATTTTTCAAATATGCAAAAAAAGCCCTAAATTATTAGCAGATTCTTGTGTTTAAAAAAAAAAAAAAAATCCATGAAGTCACCTTGGAGTACTGTCCTGGTTGATAAGCCACTTAGAAGAGCTTCAACTGCAAATTCACATGTAGGCAAGCAGTAGGAAAAATTAATAACCACAAGTGAAAATATGACATAATATTTCATCTTTTGCAGGCCTGAATATATAATGAATGAGTTTTTGTCAACACCAAATCTTAAACATAACTTGATTAAAACAAATCAGCTTAAGATTGAATGATAAATATCTTTAAGGTCCTCTCGCTAAGGTTAGCTCTGCAGTTCTTCTGGATAGCCGATTCTTCATTTGTGCATGGCTAGAACAAAGCCTCATGAAGTCCTGCTCATCTCTTATTTTATTAAACTAACACAATCACCACTTACCTGCCAAATACAATGCTTTCACCTGATGGGGCTGCAGTGCTTCATGGAAGATGATAACTGATCCAAGCTGGCCCTCCAGAGATGTTGGACATCCCCATTCACTATCCTGAGTCCCTGCTGAGATCATCTTGGTGACAAGTTCTGGTTTTGCCAGCGTCCCACTCCAGCCTCCTGGAGAGAGGATGCCTCCAAGCGATGTACGATGCGGCATAACAGGGGAGGAAAAAGGTGGGTCTGGTATCTGGGATGGAGGAGGAGTTGTCGTTCTTTGGCCAGCTGAACCAATACAGCAGGAAGTAAAAGGCTGGAGTGTCAAGCATGGAAGAGAACAAAACCTTATTAGCAAAACACTAAGCTAACGTTAGTCCCCTTCCTCTACATAAATTTTGCTTTACTGCTTGATTTGATTCAGCAGTCCTCCTGCATGAACAGCTGCTCTGAGAGCCTGCTGTTATGGGGGAAGATACACAAAGTGAACTTACTTCGTTCATAGCAGGAAATCGAAGTGGGGCAGAGACCTTCTGCTGACCATTGACATAGATGTAAACAAGGCTCTGACCAAAGGGCCTCTTCCCAGGCATGTGAACAATAGTTATGTTGTGCTGATTAAGTAATACAACAAGAAAATAAGTCACACAAAAAGCAGTGAAATAACTGTACAGAAATACTTAACTTCAACATTACTAATCTGGTGGGGAAACCACACTAAAAAACTCTAAATTAAAAACACAAAATTAAAAAAAAAACAGCAAAAAGATAAAATCATCTATCGACTGCTTCAGTTTGAAGTACATTTAAATAGTGTTTCAGGGGAAAAAGATACAGCTCTTTCATAATGCACAGCAGCCCTTAAGAGAGGGAGAGAAAAGGGCAAGGCAAAAAATACAATAATACTTTTCACTTACTCATTAGCCCCACAGCCATCTATACTCATTTTAATTTAACTTAAGAAAAGTGCATAGAGAAAAATTCTAATTACAATGCTAAAGTGATACTATCAGTAACAGCTGCCCTAATAGCACAGGTATAACTTAGCTCAGTCAACCACTAGTTATATATAACTAAAATAAATGGTGAACACTTATATTGTAATGTAAATTATTTACATTTATTTAAATATGTTATAAATATATTGTGCACATTATTACATAGGTAAATATAGAGATAGAATTTGTGACTTCTAAGCTAACACTAATCTATCTTAAATTGATTTTCAGCATTGAACCTTACCCAGAGGGAGTCACAAAAGCAATGGTCAGGCAGCATCACTGTTGCATATTCCCTCTTTGTGCAAACTGCAACCACCAATACACCAGAGCACGTAATGAAGGCTTCAAAACCCATACCACTTCCTGTAAAAAAGCTACAGGAAAAGCCAAAACATACAATCAGGGCAAAATTCAAAACTTTTTTTTTTTAATTTTTTAACATAATTCTATCACACTTTCTCAAAGCTAGCCAGTCTACTTAAGATTTTCAGTGGAGGACGATGTCAAAAACCTCTCAAAACGGTGCTGTAGCAGTTCAGTAGATGGCACCCTTCACCAAGGCTGTGCCATACAAACGCCCAGGAGAGCCACAGAAAGGCACCAACCTCTTGCCATGATTATTAATAACAGAAGTACCACTCTAAGATATGGGGCCTCAGAAAATATTTATTCTGTTTTGATCAAAATTGCATATGCCAACATTTCTCAAGAAAACTCATTGTAGTAGTAGAATGGTTTGAATGGGTAGATTCTTCTATTGCTCCCACATCCTGCATTTTGGTTGCTATTCTTTGTCAGAGCCTAGAGAAGATTATTGCACACTTACCTACACTATCAAGAACCAACCAGGTCTATCGATGGCTATTTAAGATAATGAAGGGGTCTTTCCCATTGCTCCGCTCCCTCATACAGAGAACAAACTCCAGCACCCTTGCAGGAAGCAGCAGTTTTGTGTTGCCCCCCCACCTCATTTTTTTAAGCTATATACCTTAAACAATGTTAATCTTAACACAATTTAGAATTACACTCTCCTACCTACAGCTGCAGTGTGCATTATAATAGAAAAGCGTCAGGGTTATTCCTGTAACACAGTCTGGCCTTAATGACAGATGAAACTGCTCCCTTCCACAACCTGAACTAAATGCTGTATGTTGTGTTCTGGGAAGATCAGCCTAAGCATCACATATCGCAAGGTACCGTATGTCATAGGGAAGAGATGACCTAGAATTGTTCTGCTGAAGTAGTAAACATACCTATAGAGTTGCTTCCTCTTGCTATTTTTGCTAGTCATGCTGGGGGTCACTTGGTCCTGGTCAAGGCAGAGCCAAGCGTTGAAAGAAAACGCAGAGCCTGGCCACTTGTGAATAGATGGAACAGCAATTCCTGCCATACTGTGGTACAAGTTGAAGTACTGCAGGGCACTGGCCATGCCTTGCTTTCGGGCCATGGCAAGGACAGCTCGCATCACGGGCACGACGTACGGGTGAGCCTGTCTGGGTTCCTCCGTCCTCAGGAGCCGAATGAGGCGGAACAGTTCTTCTGAGCCCATGGACTGGCTCCCCAAAGAGCCCAGAAGGGCAATCAGATTCTCTGCACAAGAGCTGTGGAGGGCAGAGTGGGAATTCAATGTCTCAATGATACGTATGACCATGTTTGCGTTGACACATGTGGCTCGACTCTGCCTGTTAATGGAGCAGATTCGCCTCAGCCAACTTGAGATGAAGATCTGCAGATCATGGGACTCAAGCTCTGGAAGCCACTGGATAAGCAGTAATAAGGGCTGCACATTGCTAATGCCCAGCATCCCAACAGCCATGTGGTCACCTTCAACAGCCTGGAAAAGAGCAGAGAACTCAAAGGTGAGACATAATGAAACATATTAGAAATATTGTCAAATACCAGCAAGTATTTTAGTATATTTAGCATAAGCATTAAAAGCAAGCACATCTCACCATATTCATGAGTTCTTCCAGCAGCTCCCGTGAGGGCTGACCTAGCGACTTCAGTACCTCGTATATGTGTGCATAACCAATTCTTTCCTTGAACACCTCCTGAGGATAAAAATTTCAGCCTCATTAACGATAGAAATGGACATAAATTGCTTGCTTACTGTAACAGGTTTTCATTTAACATGTCATATTCAGAGATAAGGTAATCAGGATGCAAGAATAATTCTACAGGCTAAAAATCTCTATTTGGTAATATGTATATTATGCTCTCTAGCATGTCACAGATGAAGAAATCTCCTCACAGCAGAGGTACACAAACAAAACAAAGTTCTATTTTAATAATTACCTATATAAAAATCTTTAAGTTGATTTAGTCTATTCAAAATGTTAAGTCTAACAAAATAGCAAGTTTTATATTTTAATGGAAGCTACACTATGAAATGAAATGATCAGGTACAGAATCTGAAGTATTCCAATATTAATTTTTGAGTGAAAGACTTTCTTAAAGCAGCGTGATTAAAAACCACACACCCTAAACATTTCTTAAATTATGAGTGTGTTATAGGATTGCTTACTGAAAACGTATTATTTTTACATGAAGAAAAAAATTCAAGCGGCAAACACAAACAGTAAAATCCATTATTTTCATTTAGTAAACAGCCAGCAGATTAGATGAAGTGAATATTTTTCCCTGTATATTCTGTACTGAGGCTAAAACTTTTGTTAATAGGTGAATCCGTCAAAGGTGAGATAACTGCCCAAGAAAATACAAAAAAAAAGTGCACATGGCAATAGAAGCCCAGCTGAAAACTTAATTAAACCTTTATGAATTATACCCAATTCCCCTCTTTGCCCCTGCTATACAACTCTTCCCAGGCTCCCCAGGGTCAGTGGAGAAATAAGCACTCTGAGTAACACTCCAGAGCAGCCTAATTCACTCTGCCACCTCACATTCAGACTGGGCTGCTCCAAGTGCAAGTAGCAGCTGGAGCAAATGACTGGGCCCTTCCCTCCGTCTCCGCTGTGCAGTCACACCCCTTGCCCTGTGTCAAGACCAGGAAATCACTTAACCACAAGACAAAATTAACAAACCCAATAATCTAAGAATAAATCCACTGCTTTTCTACATGCTTACTTTCCAGTCAGACTCACAAATTAACAATTTATGTAGTCATTTATCAAGCCTCAAGAATAACTGTGAAGGAGGGGGAGGGGAATGGCAGGACTCAAACTTGGACAGCAAACCTATCCTGGATAAGTTTAAACTCATGGAAAGGCTTCACCAAACACGCCTGCCTGAAGCTATTTTCTGCAAACACCCACTAATTTCCCCATATACTCACAGGACAAGCAATGATGATGTGCTCACTTCACAAAATTTCCAGCTAATATTAACATTCTGACGTTCGAATTTTGATATAAAGATAGCTCAGTGTCCAGTCATTAAAAATAAAGGGATAAGGAAGCAGATCTGCTGTCCCTATCGGGCAAGGAACGAGGGCCCATGAGCTGCTGATTTTCATTCACAAATTTCTTCAAGGTTTTGCAATTAAAATGCTATCTGAAGGCAAAATCAAGAAGGCTACCACAAGGAGATATCTGTGTGTATACTCTTATGTTAGCACGGAGACCTCTGTGTATATGCTCTTACCTTAGCAGCTGGAGACTTGTGCATTACTGCTGTGAGGGCTTGAATGGTCGAGACTGCCAAGCAATCTAGGTGCCCCTGAAACACCTGAAAGTAGCAGGCACAGATGTTAACAGCAACACGCAGACAGTCACGCTCGAGTGCTGCTCTGCGCCCTCCTGCTGGGATGAAAACTGAGTTTATTGCCATGCGCCAAAAAACACCTCCCTGCCAAAAGGATTTCATAACATCACAACCTACAAGAAAGAAGACATAACAGACAACTATCCACATACTCCACGAGAAGGGGGGAAACATTCGCAAGACGCATTGCACTTCAAATGTTCTGACTGACAAACTTGTTTTCCTCATGCGTCCAATGGACAACTTCAAGAGGGAGGGAGGAGAACAAATTAAACCACCTCTCGTAGCGTGTGTACATGGGCGCTGCTGAGCAATCAGGTGTCTGCAGTCCATGTGAAGATAGTTTGTCCAAGCAAGCCCTATGCAGCAGTGCAACACACCAATTTAGGGATTTGTTACACCAGCATAGTAAGGTGGCTTCTCCACCCATATCCTCAAGTTCTCCTCAGTCAGTTCTTGTTTATACTGATATTCCTCTGGTTTGGAGGACAAAAGCATTGGACCATTATCTTACGTCCAACAGTGAACCAAATGAGTACAGCTAGGCAAATAAGTGTACTCTGTATCACCATCCCTGAAAAATTATACTGTGTTTCAGACATTGAAAAATGAAGTGTCAAAAATCAGAAGGCTGTTAGAAGTGAAGAAATGTTTATACACAGACAGGTCCTCAAACTACATTTCTACAAACAACAAAGCTATTAGTTTAGGAGCATGATTTGTAAATTACTGGTTACAATTTAGCATTTCATTATTTTTTATATCAAAATGTCATTCTAATAAAAAACAGCATTTTGCATTTGATGCTTCTCATATTTCAGAAAAATTAAAGCAACGGGTTATTCCCACCTCCCAGATTCAGCATGTCCATTGCTTTGTGAACATCTGTTCTTGATGACAAGCAAAGAATCAGGATAGCAAATACAACCAGAGATTCACAAAGCCCCAGAATCCAAACACCATAGTGCTGAGAAAAAGAAGCAAAAAGGAGGAAAGAAGGGGAAAAAAAATCAGCACCATGTTGATAGAATTTATTTGGATTACATTCATGTACTTCACCTTCCTCAAGTTGTAAGTGCAACAAATTCAATCTACTGCTAATATCTGGAACTTGAAGCAAATAAATAGAAGTGAAATTGAACTCAATCTGTTAATAAAAGTTTCCACAGATAGGAAATGCTGATTTGTGCAGCGGCAACAAGTTCAACTTGTTGCATGAGATTTAAAGAGAAGGGTTAAGGTGAAGCACAGGAATCAATTTTCCTGTCATTGTGTCTTGACTTCAAGTGAAACAAAATACAGGTTAAGTAGGTACCTGGTCCTCATTCATTTCTGTCAGTAATTTGTTGGCAAGGTCTTTTTCACTCTTGTCTGTCACTTTATTGTTAGCATTTAAAAACAGCTGTTAGAAACAGAGACAAGAATAATGGAAACAATTGCATTAAATATTTACCTGTGGAGGCTGCCTTGGATTCACATTTCATATAGAAGTGAGTTCTCACACTGGTGAGACACAGCCCGCCATTAATATTAACCTTCTGTTAATTCTTACCATACTGAAGATAACATTCTATTATTGCTACATAGCGACTGTCTTTTCCTTTTCAGGATAAATACACATACTTAATTGCTGAGACAAGGAAACAAATCTGGTTAGATGCTGTACTGGTCACTAGGTTAACATTCGTTATTTCATTTACAAGAAGCAACATTACAGCAAGTTCTTAAAAATTACTTGTAAGAAATATAGACATTATTAAAGAAATGGGTAGAGATGCCTCACTGTTTTCCACTTATCCCAAGTGAAAGCTGAAGACATCTTGACAGAATATCTGGAAAGCAATGGCAGCAAAATTTCTAGGGCATACAGCATTTAAGACAGGAAACAGAAGAAAATATCTGTGCTATCACCCTAGTGATCTAACAGGTTGGAAATAGCTTTAGATTGAATATACACTGCCATTCTGCACCTAAAGTTTAGTTCCTTGCTTAAGGGAACTAGATTTCTAGGCCGTACTTCAGTTTGCAAGGTTAAAACTCACTAAATATCTTCATGCTCTATTACTGTCAATTTTTCAGATACTTTAGATATCATCTAATCAGGACTGAAATTTATCCTCTTCCGTTTTATAGCTCTTTCTGCTGAAGGAATGTTAAAGAAATCCGACCAACACATATTAAAAGTCCCTTTAGTAGGGATATTTTTGTTACATTTTTTGTTAGGTGTTGTCTCTGCAGTGAGGCAACCTAAGAAATGACTTCCCATAAATAAGGGCAAGCAAAAAGAAAATATTCAAAATATTAGTTTGACTTACATAGCTGTGAAAGCACACACATACAAACTGAACAATCTGAAAAGGGAGATTGCACTTGATACTGCCTAAGAGTCACACCATTAGCACCTGGATGTAAGGACTTCAAACGGGAGCAAATGCAAACACAACAAAAGAAAGCTTTTTTCAAAGGAATTGCTTCGTTTTTGGTATATATATATTAAATAAGAGGGGGAAAAAAAGGAAAAAAACAAAATTAAAGTGTCCATATGGCTTTAATTCTTCTAACTTAAAGCTGTTCAGACAACCATGTTTTCTCAACCAGAGATATTTCTAGAGTAACTGTGCTTTGCTCAGTCTGATCTCTAAGAGTTTGACAGAAGAGACACAAGACCTATAAACCACCTAGTTAAATGTCTCAGACTAGAAAAATCCTCTGAAATACACTCCCTTTTCTTGCATATTAGAAGCAGAAGACAATATTCAGCCTACTAAGACTTAATTGAGCAGTTTTGAAAAGCTCTTGTGCAAATTCCCAATCCTACCCACAGGTTTCTAACCTTACTGTATGGTAGGGAAGAGATTCAGAAATAGGAACCACAAGAAATTCCACAGCTAATTCCACAATAAATTCATATTTTCATTTTGGGTTTCAAAGGAAAAGGAGCTACAGTATACTGAAAAGTGAGAATAAACACAAATACTCCCTTCAGCCATTCTTGGGAATATTTTGACTGAAAGAGGTCAAAACACAAACACACACACACACAATTAGAAGAACATATCTTACAGCATAATTATGAAACAAAGGCAGAGTAAAAATGAAGGGAGCCACTTGTAAAAGCAGAGTAAGTGCTCTTGCTTTTCTTAGTTCTAAATCCCATTTGTTTAACCGGCAGCAGAAGCAAAGTCAGGAGCAAGTAAACATCCCACTGCTTAATGATTTAAGAAACTAGAAAAGGAGTTTCTTGTAGAGCACAAGGTCAGTACAAAAATAGGCACAGATTCCCAAACAGAGAAGTAGAATGGAAAGGTCAAACATAAGGTATTTTCAGCACAAGATTAAAAACAAAAACACAAAAAAATAAAAATACATGAAAACTCTCTACGAAACACTCCCAACTGGCATTCTGCCATTGATTATAACAACAAAGTCATAACCCAAACACACACATTTTCAATGTATTACCACATTAAAATATATTCTAGCCAAAAACAACTAGGGGATTTGAAACAAATTGAACACTGCAGTTAGCATTAAAATTTCTATTATTTTAAGTGCTCAATATAACCATTTCACCCACTCATCTCATGCAGTAATAAAATATTCCAGAGAGTTACACCTTATCTACACTTTCTTTGGATGGGAAAGCATAAAGTTACAAAAGAGCCAGTGGAAGACAGTGACTTACTAATTACAACTACCTGGGATTACAAGGAAAACAAGCTGCCTAGGTATAGCTATGCCAAAGCTGTATCCTGCGCAGAAGGGCAAGAACAAAGTGTATCTGTAACAGGTAAGGCTCATTTTTGAGTCAGCTACACAGGACTTGCCACCAAATAATCTGAAACACTCACAAAGCTACATCAGAAAGTTTCCTCTCTTTTTTATTTGAAAAATAAATTTCTGAAATTAGAATTCAATGTTCCATTTGGCAGCAGTTTTAAGTAATTTCTCAGGAAACCAGCAAAAAGGTGTTTATGGGAAAAAAAGGGGGAAGGTGAGGTGATCCCATAATCACCTTGAGTTTTAGGGACAAAACAGTGTCTATAAAGGTATTTTACTCAGAATGTATGTTCATCACCTTATCACAAGGAAGATAAACAACTCTACTTTATCTGGAAAAAATAAAAAATTCAGACCCTTTAAATCATGTCATTGGTGGCTCTAACCAAGCCAAAGTTTTTCCTTTCACATAAACACTTCCAACTGTATCCAATATAAAAAGAAAACTACAAACGTTATTATACTTGCATTATTACAAAAAGGGTAAAGTTTCATTAAAGATACTCTGGTGATGGAAATTTTACCTTGCAGTTCTGCAGCAGTCGAATGAGATGCTCAAAGCAGTTACTGTTAAGGAAAATTGCCTGCAGAACAGGCCTATCTGTGCAGTCTAACATGGCTGTGATGGTGTCTACAAAATCAAAAGAGAACTGGCATCAGAAACAAAACACTTTCCAAATCCATCATATATTTTTCTCCATAATGCATTTTCAAAAGGATTAAGAAATGGTACGTAGCAAACATGGGGGAAAAAATAACAAACAAACAAATACATAGTCTGCATTTTTTGATGAAAAGTGTTGTGCACTTTAGCACAGAGCTCTAGGGCTAAAGCTAAACAATTTGAAGCAAATTATCACATAGCACATTGTGACTGGAGAAAAACTCAACTGCCAAATATCTTTGATTGCTCTGGGCCCTTTTATAAATTCATTGCCATGTGCATAGATATGAGCAGCAATTTTTTTTTAAGCATGCAGACTTCCTTTCCTTCATCCTCAAGTGATGCCTTTTGCACTCTAAGCAGCATCATTAAGCATTCTTCATCATCTCAATACTTTTCCACAGTTTTCTTGCAGGTCAGGGAAAGGAAATGAGCGTGGAATGACAGGAGGAGAGGTAGCTCCATATCCTGAATGTTTATCCAATGACTTAGGAGCTAATTTTAAATCCACCGTCTTTGGCCAATGTTCACAATAATGCCATCTACAAAATGAACAATCACAAAACAGCCACCAGCTGCCATCATCTTACAGAGACTACTGAGACTCTAGATTTGTAAAATTCTTTCTTCTCAGTTCTTGAATCTTGACACTCTGGTTAAATGGTAGCAATTTGATACACTTTGTTTTCTGGAGTGAATCATTAGAATACATTTATAACAATGTCAAAGAAAAGTGTTTGAAATTTTTCACTTTGAATAAATGTTCTTTGCTATCCAAGAACACTGCTGAATCATTATTTCAATTTGATCATTGCTTGTTCCTGAGTTAAAAAAAAAAATCACAGGACTTTTAAAGGAATATTCGGATACTCACTCAGCATTTGGACCTGTAGTGCTATAAACCTCTTCTCCCACTGCCTACATCGCCTTGCATTAGGCAACGCGGAATGGTCCGAATTTAGCAACTTGAAATAGTTCTCCAAGATTGTACTGGTCTCCACCTGCCGCTGGTCAGAACTGCTGGTTAGAAGAATATGGACAACTTCAGTCAGGCACTTCAGAGTCAGCTCTGCCTTCCTGCTCACTTCCTCCGGGTTTCTGTCATCCCAGTTGTCACAGTCTGCTAAAACACGCATCAAGACTTCCATGGTGGCAGGAGATACTGCTTGGAGAGCATTCCTCTGAAACCCATGGGGAAAAAAGGATTATTTTGATATGATTATTAAAAATAAGTCTCAAGTCTCTTCAGATAAACTTTTTCTCATCTGAGTCATCCAAATCGCACAAGATACAATACTGTATTTGTCCCGGTTTATGCACAGTAATTGTTAAATAGCTACTAAACCAACTATTTCAATCACATTGATTCTATCATGTTGATTCTACAGGTGAAATGCTGCTTATCTTATTCATTTAATTAAATTCATTAATTATCTTTCTTTTTGAAAGATAATGCTTACAGAGAAGAGGAATTTTATAAAAATAAAGGAGATGTTCTAACTTCCATTTAAATGACATTTCTTATAAGACTGCCTCAATAAATTCTGTCAAATCTACATAAATCTTCATTTGAAGGCTCTTTTTCAATTCCTCTTTCCACATAGCCAGAGTCACGATACTTCAAACTTAAAGACACACACGCACACACAGAATGATTAGGAAGCATTTATGAGAGTCCTGAGCGTCATGAAAATATTACTAAGTTCACATTAACATTTAGTCCTTGCAGACAGCAGTTTTCCACTGCCATTTGATCAGGCTTTTAGCATTTAGATATTATTGCACAAAATTACCCCAAATATAACAAGAAATATATATACACACACACAGAGAGCAATAAGTCCAGTTTATGTATTTCCCATAATCCATAAGTTTTAAGGCGTGAACAGAAAGATGGAGCCTTTGGAAGCTGAAAAAAAAAATTTGAACATCCTTACCTGACCACCAGCCACAATAGCTCCAAAGAGATGTAGCAAACAACATTTTAGGCTTTCCTTGAGATGCTCACTTTCTTGAAAGCATTCTGATTGAAATAAGGAAAAAGTAGTAGAATTCTTTATTTTAGTCATGAAAATTATACATTTTTCCTCTAAAGAAAATGCTGAAATAATTAAAAAATAAGCTCCACTACTCCTTATCATCATACAAGTTTTTTTTTTTAAATCAACTACATAATCTCTACTTTTACATAAATCAATCACAAGCACAGTCACAACTTGTGATGCAAACATCAATCAAGTAACATGGCAACACCACATTTATCAGAAATTCACAGGGCCAGACCCACAGAGCAGCAGTTTCATGCAAGTTGGCGAAACCTGAGATACAGCAATCGTTGATCTGATCCATAATTATTATTAAAGAAATAAAACAACATTCTAACATGCAAGCTGCAGAGCTAACAGACCTGACAAAGTTTAGAGCAGTTAGAGCACAGAAAGGCTCACATCCAACCAGTGCATGGTGTCAGAAAACAGTGGCTGAACTGGCTCCCAAACTAAACTTTCCAGGGGAGTCTGTGCAGGTCTGCAACCCTTCCAGCAGAGGCACTTTGAAGACAATTATCCTGCAATTCTTCTCAGGCTATCTCTGATGTAAATCACTTATAAGCAGCTACTTAGCAATAGATATCAATATGAATTTTGTTAGTGGTACTATAGCAATAACTCTAGACTCAAAGTAGCTGCAACTGAAACTATGAAGTACTATTTTACTGAAATTAGCAATTGGAAAAAGATTTCTCATCAATGCTATAAGGTCTGTGAATCACTTAGGTTTTTAAAAAGTCAGATTTTAAGCAAGCAATAGAAGTTTTAAATTCTAGGTTTTTACATTAAAATAACAACATAACCTTTACATCAATTGCTAAATCAATGCTAAGCAACATGTTGAACGTATAAAACTGCTTTACCAGAAAATTGCACAGCTCTTTAAAACTTTGTCTTCAAAGGGGAAAAAGAAACCTACATGATCACAGTGTTGGTCTGCTGGTCCAAACACTCCCTTGACTTACAGGGCTGAACCTTTTGGGAAACTTCAGATTAAATTCAATTGAGCAGTACCTTGCAGACACTGAACAAAAGGTTATTAGGTAGGTGGAGAGAAAAAGACTCAAATCAGCACTGCCGTGGCAGGAAAGCCTGAGCATGAGCTCAGCAGCTTTTGTTCCATTTCTTAAGCCAAGTGGTTAAGCAGTAGGTGACTCTGCTGCTCAACACACAGGCCCACAGTCAGTCACATTGTAGGACAGCTATAGATATAGACAGCAGAAGGTGATGCAGGGGTAGCGAGTGGGGACGAGAGCTCCTCAGGGGGACACTGCCCACAGCTGCCACCAGAGTGGCTTGCCAGTGCCCTGGCATAAGGGTAATGGCATTTTACTGGCCTCAGCTGTCTGTTCTTTTTAGCTACCTGTCTATTTATCTTTGCAGAGATGGACATCACAACAAATAGGTGAAAAACGAGGTTTACTGCAGTGGAGGATGCCACATAAAGTTTCCCTGAGGCTGGCACTATATTATTTGCTTTATAATCCCTTTCTTGAAATTCTCATTTGTTCTCCAGTTAGCTAGGCTAACTCATCTATGACTCACGTGGAGATTAGTAATCTTGCACCCTCAGATAAGCAGTAAGAGTCACTCAACCATCAATTCCCCTGCACAAGAACTGAGGAAACAAGTTCTCTTCTGTTCAGCAAAGGAACTGGGCAATGGGACAACCCCTTTCCACCTCCCAGTCTCCTGCGAGGGAACATTTTAATTCCCAGTTTGGCAGAGTTCTTAAACATGTGGTCAAGGCCCCATTCCAGAACTCTAGCACCCTTCTCAACATGAGCCATCCATTCTGGGAGCTGACACTAACTAGGTGCCTAGCTCTCAAGTTGAATCCTTGTTATGCTTTTCTTTAGCTGATCTGTCCTGTAAAGACTGAAAAAGTTTAGGATACTTACAGAAATAAACCTTTAAGCATGCTAACAGCAAATGTGTGCTTTTAAACAAGGACATCTCTTACTTAGCTGCCAGACTAAGTACATAATCACAAAGTCACAGTGAACTTAGATTAAGGTCCTGCCAGATTCTTTTCTGGTGGGTCTGGGTCTAAGAAGTCTCTGCCACAGATGCAAAAGGGAATCTTCACTGATTTATGGGAAGAACACTAACTTGTCAGTAAACAAATTATTTCACACATTGCTCAGTGTATTTTAATTTATTGTTCTATATTAGGGACACTCAATCTTCTGGATGATCGGTTCTTATGCTAAAATATTACATAAGCCTCTGCATAGCAGCTTTTTAAAGCACTGATATCTAAGTTATATTTAAGTACAGAACATGGTCACACGAGCCCTCCATTCCTCGCAGCCAGCCTGCAATGGTAAGAGCGCAGGACTTATGAAGCAGCAGTCAAAACACTTTAATGACTTAACCAGAAACAAAACGGAGAAGTTTCCCAAACTGTGGTCCAAGGAGCATTTGCTGGTCATGTGGTACTGAGTTTCCTTGTTTCTAGCTGCTAAATCATATTTAGAGAAATGCATGTCTAGTTTTCAATACAGTTGCTACAGATATCTAATTGCAATATACACCAAAAGGCAAAATTGTCAATTCACAGAACCAACATTAAGAGCTGAATAAAGAATCCAGACAGAGGGGGAGAAAAAAAAAATAAAAATAAAAATAAAAATAAAAATAAAAAACAACTAAGGCTTTCAAAATGCCATAGATAAGGATGGCAAGAGGGTGATACTCAAAGCCAAATTTTTAGGTACAAAAAGCCCAAAACTAAGGAAGCAAAGCAACTCACTTGATTCATTCTCATAGAGAGGCTTTTATATTTATTAGACATTCTTAGTGGAATAGAACGTGTTATCGGTATGTTTGCTATTGCAAAAATAACCATTTTCAACCATGCCAGGGATAATACTTACGGTAAAAGAAAGGGACAAACTCGACTGTGAGGGAAGCTGGCTTGTACTTCTGTCTGCTCCTCTCAACTGTGCTAAGGAGACGTCTGCAAATATATTAAAAAAGAGATACCCCAAAGAAATTAGATACCAAATATTTATCACCTATTGATAAGAAAAGACATTGTCAACATCCAGAAATTCTCTTTTGTTTACAGGATTAAAAACAGCACTTCATCCTGAAAAAATGCATCACAGGTAATCTTACTGTTCCACTCCTAAAAAATCCTTAATATTTTATAATATGACTTATATAAATAAATAAAAAGCTAACCATCTAACAATCTATTATTTAGTCTTTGCTTACTGTAACTAAGCCATCAGTTGGCCTTCCTTAACCACAAGCCTTAACCACAACCTTCCAAATTCCTTAACCACACAATTTGAAATAGGCATAAAATATTATTATGGGTACTCTGGGGAGGGGAAGGAAGGGGCAGGAACCAACAAAAACAGCTGTAAAGGAAACAACTCTACATTTATAAGCATCTTTTCAGAAAATGCAACATATTTATACTGTTATCTTCAGAAGCTTCTTTTGCCCTAATTCCACCCTCTTCCCCTGCCCCATGTTTGTCTTCCTTCTTCCATCACTTGAGAAGAATGGATCAAGTTTCTGAAAGGATAAAATAGTGGAAAGAGTTTCATGTTGGTCAGAACGTATTTCTTCTTACACCCTCTGATTTAACTCTTTTTTTTTTTTTAACTCTAGAATAAATTAGAAAATAAATTTTCTTGAATTTATGATAGACATTTAAATCACATCACACACTTCCAAAGAATGTAACAGCTTTCAGTGGTGTGATTATATGCTCTATTGACAACTTCTGCACCTTCCCCGAGTGCAAATCAAGGACTTGGAGTACACGTACGGTACCTAAGATACAGCAAGAAGGTCTGACACCACCCACACTAAACCTGGAAGAATCTTGGCAGGATGTTGGAGGGCCACGAAGGGTCCTAAGCAGCAACTTGCTGCATATGTGCAACACACATCTACAGGATATGAGGTGAGAATGGACCCAGGGTTTTACCAGATGAGGCAATATGAGATGCACAGGCAAAAGCAGAAGAATATTCACACTGGTGCTTGGCATGAATCCATAAACTTTTTTGTCTGAATCTGTTACATGCATCTTGTTATCACCAAAACAAAATTCATGATCCTGTGCTCATCTGCACGTACCCTGCAATTCGCTGCCTCCAGTTTCGATACGGATCGTAGAGACTTTCACAAAAAGCCAATGCATGTCTCACAAATTCTTCTATGGGGGTCTGGTCTGCCATTTCTTTCTCTTTTGTTTTGCTTTTTAACTGAAGAGAAAAAAAAAAGCAGTCAAAAGATTTCAGAAAGTTTGATCTTGAGTGCTCAGAGCTATTGTTGAGGAGATCAAATACTCCCCTGCACCTCCCACTGCACTTTTTCTAAAAGGGGATCATAATAAGCGGGGACAGGCAGTAGCAGACAGGGAAAATACCAGAGAATTGTTAACTTCACCCACCTGTTGAATGTATAACGTGGTCATGGTGATCACATGGTTAATGTACGAACACATCCCGATCTCCTCCACGTTAGCCAAATTTCTATAAGAGCAACATAAAAAACCACAGAAATGTACACAGCCTACTATTTGAGGCTAGTTCAAACAATGTTTGTTTTAGCATTCAGTTTAGAATGATACAAGAGTGTATCAGCATTTCAAAAATATTCCCCAAAAGACTGCATGTATTCAACTGTTTATTTCTGTCACAGTAAAATACTGCAAATTTTCATCTAACAGGAAGACACAAGCACAGCCAAAGCCCCAGCCCTCTGCTTTAGGCCAATTTTAACTGGAATTTGAGGTTTCAAAGGTTAAGCAGATTCCCAGGCACTCTGAATAGAGCGCTCGGCAATGGCATCTGGTAACAAAGGCAGTGATTTCCATTTCTCCCACTTCGCATCAGAAGAAAACTCATCGTGGCTTCATATAGCTTCTACAGCTTAGCAACAATGCTACTTGTAAGAAGTTCAACACTTAAAATTCTCCCAAAGCCCAGGAAAGCCTAATATTCTAAAACAGCTTATTAAATAAATCAACAGTAACACAAAAATAGCATGCACATGTAATTCTCAGTCTTAGGACAAGCCACAAAAATCAGATACTTAAGTGATGAAGTAAGAAGAATATTTCAGCAATTAAATAAGGCTGAAAGCAATGGGTAATTCATCAAAACAGCTACTTTATATCTAATACTGTAGGATACTTTAAACACTGCCCTACAGCTTTTTGTCATGTTTCAGGGACAAGGAGAACCATAGAGTTCAGAAAAAGCTTCTTAAAATACTCCTTAAAAAAGAGATTCTTTACTAAACTTTATATCCTCTTCCCCCATTAATACAGTTTGCAATAAAAGAACAAAGAAATTTGGTGGAACAGACCTACGAAACAGTTTATTTATCTGTTTAAACAGACTCACGGAATGAAGCATAAGTTTCAGAAGAAAGCCAGTTGCATTTTAATAGTTTAATAAGTCAGCTTCCAAATCATTTCCTAAGCTGTTTACAGAATGATAAGCATGCTAAGAATGTGAAACAGTTCGTCCTGGACATTTCTTTTTAGAGTTATTTCATACCCAACACTTACTGGAGTCTGCCTTTTCCTTTGAAAAATATTTATTATACCTGGTACAACATGCCTTGAATTCCCATAAATGTATCTTCTTAACAAGAACTTTAGTCTAATCACCCTCTAGTCCATTTCTCATGGCAAACATCATTGCTAAGATGACTGTATTTATCCCCTTTATTCTTTTTTCTCCTCTTTATTTTGAAGATGGTAACTGGTAGCATCTCTTGGTTTCTTCTGGCACATGTCTAATCACACCATACACGTTGTTAGAACCTACATCTACAGACTGCACCAAGGTGTCTTAAACAATAGCCTTGTTGAGGTGGCAACCGTAACAAATACCTGCAAAGGATGATAAAGAACTTGACAAGCAGGAGTGACAGAGCTTGCTGCTGCTCTTCTAGTCCATCAGACATCTTCTGGACACACTGCAGCAGCTGGAGCCTCAAGACCTGAAGAATGTTATCGGGAAGCAGGGATATTCCTGGAGGAACATCATCCACTCTAAACAGAAAATCATATATGCATGATGTTTTTAATTTTGCAGATCCTATACTATTAAAATATTTCAGTGTGCTTGGGTAATGTCCCAGTAAGCCTGTATAAGAAAGGTAGCAACAGATGGGTCACAAACACTTCCCAACAAGCTACAAGGAAAAACCTGGTGTAACATGCCTGTTTGGTGTTCCTTTTCCCAACCAAGGAATTAAATTTTAGAAAAGCCTTAAAAAACACATTAAATGGATTCCTCAGCACTATTTCATGAATTGCTGGCCACAGAGAAATGGCATGCTCGTATGCAAAAAGGTGGCCTGGAAATAAGGAAAGGGATGCCCCCAAAGGAATGAAATGTATGGAAACTGAGCATAAGAGGAACAATTTCCACTTCCTACTGAAGATGAAAAGCATCCAAATAAAATGCAAATTATTAAATAGTAATTACTGAAATCCAGTTATCAAATATCAACAATAAACTTAATTTAGTTTATGACAGCTCCTGACAGGAGCTACAAGAAGGCAGCAATTCACAGCAAGTTTAAATCAGGAAAAAAAATGCAAGATCCTGGAGTGGGGGAAATGTCAGGGTCTGAATGCAGGGCAGGGGACTCTCAGCAATCCAGGCAGCTTTTGACAAATTAGTTTTGACCTATCCTTATTACTTTCCGTATGTCATTAACCCAGCAACAAGTTTTGTCCTGCTATCTTTTTTTTTTTTAGCTCAAAAGCTTTAGTTTTTTATCTTTTTATTTGCAGAAGACAAAAAGACCGTTATGTTGGGATTAAATACAACTACTCAAGCATGTCCAGACTTCATCTTGGTGAACACTGCTCTCATATATTGCCTGCTAAACAGAGACTCTAAGAGAAATACCAGAGAAATGCAGAAAAAGAAGGCAACACCACCACTAAAACCAGCAGCTAACCCAGTGCTCAGAGAGCGGCCATACAGAAACCCATTTCAGCAAAGCTCTAGAAATCCTTAGGTGTGTTATTTTTCAGGATGGAGACCATTACTGAAGCTCCTTTTGGCAAGGGTTCAGAGGCAGCTTTTTCTGTCAGCAAGCTCACACAGGGAAGTGAGTCTGCCTTTGGCATCAGCTGCTTGCCCTCCACATGCCCTATCAGCTCCACGCAGGAAAAGCTTCAGGACACAGCTTACACCAGCTTAAAAAATAGCAGAAGGCAGGGAGAAAAACTACAACAAAACAAAAAAAATAGCCGGCTTTAGCATAATATTTGCATACATAAATCTGTGTGACAATGTGCATCAAAAAGCATTGCAAAAATACAGCTGCTGAGAAATAGCACTCTGACACTGGCTATTTGAGGGAAAGTGGAAACAACAGATCATTTAGCTTTCCAGAGTTGTGAAGAGAAAATTGAAATATGGTTTAATAAAACAACTAGGCAGGCACAAATGACAGGAAGCTCCCATGTCCTAGAAAACGAGTGGCAGCCACGTGCCAATGTAGCAAGGACTTGACACTATTCACTCTCTTGCTTCTACACAAGAGAAATTTTGTAGGATTGAGGAATCTGAAATGAGACATATTAACCACAAAACCGAGAGCAACTGCTATTTCCCACCATGACTGCCAAGAAAGCACCTGGCATTTCTGTGATAGCAGCTCCATGCCTCAAGATGCAAGCACATCCCTACCCTTGGGGCCCACGAGCACTGCTCATGGCCAGCTGAGAATGAGGAGGGCTCTCATATTTTAAACAGCCAGAATCACATATCCAGAAGTAACTTGCCTAAACGGCCAGCAAGCGCTTTCTGTACCCAGCAGTTCCCAACGGCACCAAGGAACCAGCAGGTCCTTCATCCATCGTGGCCCAGAGCACGTGAGCTCTGCAACAGCTCTGAGCCTCTGCTGCGGCACCGGCCCTTAGAAATCCCGGCCTTGTGCAGGAACAGCACCAGACACCCCAATCTGCTGGGAGTGCTCAAGCTGTACACACTATAACGATTAAATAACCAACTTCCTTCACACCCAGAGCAATTGTTACTTCATCATGACGAGAATCAAGAAGTTGGATGTGTGGATGCATAACGTCAGCCATCGCCTGATGAGACTAGCTGTGTAAAGTACCTATTCCCTGAGGAACAAACAAAACCAAACCACACACCAAGCCAAGTGTTGGCCGAGGTTCTTAGCTGGTTGTTGGTACCTGCCTCTACAGACATTGACATGGTTACATTTATTTATGTCCTTGCACTGGTTTAAAGGTGGTGTGCAGTTTTAACCTGTCATTCCAGGCTTTTGAAAGGAAGTTACATTGCTCTTGAACTGTACTCATCCTACTAGGCCTTAAACTCACGCACTGGGATTCGCTCCCCCCGCTCCAAAGTGCTGTAGAAAAACAGACTTCACTTTACGGCATTGAAATTGCGGTAAATGTGTAATCAGCATGATTATCATTTTTCCTTCATCATTTTTATGTGGGTTTGAAGTCCCTGTATAAGAGTACAGTGTCTATGGTACTGCTGACAAGCTTCACTTAAGCTCCTTTGCTTGACTGCAAGCAAACAGAAACCAGAAAAGAACATGATGACACTCTGGAGCCCTTTGTTATTTCCAGAAGTATTAAACTAAGTGATAATTTTTTTCCTTCAATGAAGAAAAAAACCTCCCACCAGCTGGTAAAGGTTTTATCCTTCCCACTGTAAATACTGAAAAGATGTAATAAATGGCTTAGGAAAAGAATAGAGGAGTGCATTAATCCGCTGTGCTCAATGCACACAGCTGTTGGCATAGCTATTACATTGTAGTCTAGCCTCACCTTCTGCAGTAAAATCACTGTAAACACCATAGTGAATCACTTCATTTAGAGCTACCTAAAGCAATATAAAATGAAAAAAACAGTACAATTTGGACACACTCATCCCCCAAAGTTAGAAATTTCCAAAATTTTGTGTTATGGAGCATCTGCCAAATTTTGGATATCAGGAAATTAAATGTTTTAAAGTACAGAAGCACAATCCTTATCAATTAAATGAAACTACCAGGAGAGTCCTTCCTTAATGAAACTATTGTTTGTTTTTTTCCTGAAGTGCAGGGGGAGAGTGAGAAGGTGTATTGAAAGTAAGAGAATTCCCAGGAAAAATTAGAGGATGATGACAAATTCCTATATTCTGAAAGGTTGGTTTTGTCCAGACATCCATACAAGCTTTCTTCTCCCTGCACAGTAGCTCACTGTTTACTGTCTTTTACTCTTCAGTGCCAGAAGTCTTCCAGGGATACAACTGAGCTTTAAACCATATCGAGATTCGTATTAGAAAAAAAAAATATATATATATATATATGCTCTAGACAGACCCTTCATTTCCTTGGTTGAGCTAACATCATGTGTCACTTCCAAGATCGAGTAACAGAAATGTTTTTTTAGTAAGAGGGAGGAACTCTAGTAAAAATATTAAAGATTAGGTACGAAGCCATGACATGGTGTGGGCTATAATGAAAATACTTGACGTGTAACCACAGTGTGTATTTAGATACAGACTCACATCAATCCCCCTTTACTAACAGGAGGCCTTGACTAATTTCAAGTAACTTTGGCTGAGCATGGCAGCAGCACAAAAATAAAAGATTCTTTTTAGGACTGTGAATGGAGACTGTGTGGCAACATGGAGCCACTCAGGAGCACTTCATTAAGACAAAGGTCACTGTGTAAACTCATTTCTTCCTAGACAGCCCAAGACAAGACCACAGGAAATCAGCCTTTCGTGGTGCCACACAGATCTACTTGTTCTCCTCGACAAGCTCAGTAAGCTCCACATTGCAAACGTCTGCAGTAAGAACTAACACAAGAACCCAAAGAGATACCATTTTTCACATGCCACATTATAACCCAAATCCAAATAAAGACAGAAACAGCAATTCTTTGTTAATTTTAATATCTCTCCTCAAACAGTGCGATATTTAAACCCAGCTGCTGAAGCACGGGAATTATGTCTTTATCCTTATGTTGTTTTGGTATTTTTTCCTCTACATCTGTTACAAAAATTAGTCTAAAACCACATGGGTCTATTCTTCTAGACTAAATCACTAATCCTGTCATTAACCTCAGAAAAAGGGAGGATTTTTACGCTCACAGAACCATTATTTAGCACAACTAATACAGTGCTGTTGTTCTGCCCAGCTAAGCTTCTTTTTTAAATTTTTTTTTTTAAATCATTCGCTATTTTGCTGTTCAGAGGGGAAAAAGATATATATATTCTCTTTCACTGTTCCCATTTCAAAATGAAACTATATGTTAAAGGACAGCTCTCACCTAAACTAGCCATGGTATGCATTATGCACACATGCATTATGGTAGCGATCAAAAAGATAACATCTTAGGACAGATGTGAAGAAACAAAGCACAGAATTAACTTGCAGCTTTTGCACACAAGTAATTTCACTGAATATTTTGCATTAATATAGGCATAAGGAGAAAATTGCAAACACAAATGGCAAAGAAGTTTGGTTTTTAATCCACTGAGATCCAGTTTCAGCATTCTTCATTTCCTTGCAACAGCGGAGGCTATCAGTTACACCTCAAACAGGATCTGATCCAAAGCCCATTAGAGAATTTCCATTGATTTCAACAGGGTTTGGATTGAAGCCATGGTGCAGGGAGTGCCATTCCTTGTACTCAACTCACCAGCAGCGATAGCAGCTATAATACTGATGCCAATTCTTGTGATTTCTGAATTCTATAACACTTGTTTTTCTTAAAAGCTTTAATGCAAGCATCTCAGCTTTCATCTAAAAGCCTTTAGAAAAAAAGAAACCAGTTTCTATTTCTACTTCTCACAGTTGCAAAGCAAGTCATGAAAAAATGACCCTTAAAACACAGAAAGCAAATTCAAAATACTAAGTATGGGACTTTGAAAAATAGATTTTCACAACCATCCCGTGGCTATTTCAGTACTTGGAATAAGTAACATTGTCAAAGTTAGTGAACTGAATGCTTCACCAAGGCAAAGGAGCCACTCACTTTCAAATAATCTATCATTTGTGCATATTTTATCTTTATAAGAAGTATTCAGTCAAATCATGCAAATGATTTACACAGTATTCATTTAAAATTAAACCAATGTCTGAATTACAAAACTGTCTATATTTTTCCTCTATCCAATCACTTCTGCTACAGATGCATGTGCTAATAATCATTAATACTATTTCATACACTTATTTCAACAACATACATGAAATGATCATATTTCTATCAACAAGAACAGGTGAATCCTGATGCCATAATTTGATAAAATGTAGATATCAGTATTTGCCTAGTTTCATCACTCCCAGCCCAACTTGACCTTTAAAAGAACGGGGAGTGCCACTTAACAATAAAATCTGTCTTTTGTTTAAAAGCAGTATTGAGGTGAACAAGACTGGGATCTCAGCCAGGCCCGCTGCAGGTATCAAAGATAAACAGGTCTGTAATTCTACATACCTAGTCGGCAGCTTCTCAAAGTCCACATCCAGAAACTGTTCATAACTAGAAACAAAACTATCCAACCAGAGCTTCAGGTAATCTGGATCCTTCTGTGAAAGGAAAAGAAAAAACATGTTATAGAATACAGCCCCTGAGATCATCAGCCAACAGCTCTGTAAGTATTAACTTGAAAAGAAATATTCTAAGTGCTTCAGCCAGGGGGAGAATAGTGAAGAGACTGATTTTTAGGACTCAAATATAAAAAGTTTTGCCCTTTGAAATTCTCAACCATGTTGTGCTGATGGGACATTCTGCCATTGAGTAGATACTCATTAGTTAATGTGTCTCTACTTACTAACGTCAATGCCAAAAGTGATTTCTAAACAAGCTTTAGTAACTCTGCAGAGCTTATCAGTTTTCTAATGCACAGATTCCTAGTGTAATCTATTCTTCATAGCATGCAAGTTACAACATTTCTTATGGATTAAAAAATTCAGGAAGAACCCCAATGACAATCCTAATCACAACAGTTTCTTTTGCTTCATTCATTGAGTCATGACAGCAAATGAGATAACTTGTTCCAGGAAATAGGCTGCTAGCAGCAGATTAGAGCCACATGAAGTATTCCAAGGCATTGCACACAGCCTGCAAGTTGTGCACTAGGTATCTATAAAACAAAAACTTTAATTTAGGATTCCTAATTGTAAAAACACACCCAAAATCTGTCAGAATACATGTTATCTTATGTCACTTGACTTGAACATTCAAAAGCAAACTGTCAAATCAAAGCTTACATCATCCTTCACAAGGACGATATAAAGAATACCAGTCATGCCCACTGATACACATCCATGCACTCACACATTCTATAAATAGTTTACAAAATAATGCAAATATTCGCATATAGTATTATAAATATTAGACATTTAAAACGTACTTCATAACTTACAAAATTCTGCAAATTTTCGAACCTTTTGTTCAGCTTTCTACTTTCTTATAACTCCTTCCTTCTTCCCACCCTTGCTTTATGTTGCTACAGATGCTCGCAAATAAGAGATTATTTCCTTGCACTGTTAAGAGCAAGGAGCAACGTGTGAATAATCCACACAGGGGTGACATTGGTGATAAAGAACAAATCAAACAAGAATGACATGCACTGCCTTCTTGGTTCAAGGTCACTGAATAAAATAGAATCTCCAAAACAAAAAGAAATCAACGAATGGGGGGGAAAAAAATATGGAAACCCATAATAGGAAGCACTCCAAAAGCGATTCTCCAAGTATCTTTCCATTATAAGTAGAGGAAGCCTAAAATACAGCAGTCCCTTTCTTACTCAAGACCTTACCCTCCTCTTCAGAGCAAGATCTCTAACTCATGCAAGAGAGGTCAGAGTCACTTTGACAAAATAAGCTTCACTATCACTGTTAATCATATACAAAATGCTTTCAGATAAGGTGACAACAGGCACCAAATAAAACCAGAGCTTATTTATTTCCTTCTCCTTCACTTCCTTTTTGTCACTTTGTCCATTTTCCACTACTGCTCCATTTCCAATTCTTCTCCTTCCTTCTCACTCCTAATTTCTCCCAGCTTCATGAACTAATCTTCCTCTCCTTGCCTCTGCTTTTATTTCCCTTCCAAAGGTTTTCTTTTTGAAGTCACGACATACTTCCTGTTCAACCTCCAGGATGATGAGATTTCAGAAGTATCTAGATATTGAAAGCTTTAACCTTCTTTTTCAAGAGATACAGCACAGCTCAGGCTGCAACAGCTTCTGCAGGAAAGTTGCTGATAGCCATATGAATATATCTAAACCTTTGCTTAGTTAACACCTAAGGTAATGCTCATGAAAGCACAAAAATTGAATCTATTTGATTTTTTCCTGCTGTTGAAAAAACTGCTTTTACTTAAAATATGCAAGTTTTCCCTGAAATACAATGTGAATTACTAAAAACTCTATAAGTACTTTTAAATAAAAAATGGTTTGTTGACACAGCTGAGGCTCATCTCTAGTTGCTGACTAACTCTGTAAGAAAACTTTCTTGAGCACGTGCCATTAGAAAACCATGAAAATAATATTATCTGACTTAACGTTGCTTTAGTGAAACGTTGAGAAGGAAAGGGAGTAGAGAAGACAGAAAATTAGGTTAAATGCCTGCCCGCTCCTTTTTAATGATAGTCTAAATCTGCTTCAAGCTTAAGATTAAATTAAACCTTTATCATTAACCTCTCATGCCTTTGCAAAATAATGCAGACTAGCTATAAGAGATGATTGCCAGACACAAAATAGACAAAGTATTATATGGTTGAAAAATTTATATATTATCCAAAGTTATTAAAATAATCATCTTTGATCAAGTCTAGAGATTTCCATCCAAGCAACAGCATTAACTCAATACCACCTCAAAAAAAAAAAAAAGGTAGAAAAGCAAGCAAGATCACTTAGCAACTGAATCTATATAAAAAACACTAAAGTAAATCTCTGTTATGAACCATCCCTAAAAGCATACTGAATTAACATTAATGAAGGCCTATAAGCTAGAAGTGCATCATTCCAGAAAAAAAGTAACCCAATATTAAACAGTTTTGCACAAATGCAAACACAGAAGCTATTTCAAGCATGTTGAAATGGAAGTTAAAAATAGCTTTCAAACTTTGGATCTGGCACAGATTTCCCCTTTTCTGTATTATCTGTAAAAGTACGATCAGTCTAAACTCCATAACCTGCACCAGTCACCTGCTGA